AAAGACCTTCGACGAATATAGGCTTTCAGGAAAACATTTTCTTAAAGTTTAAAACAAAGAGATAATAAAAATAAACTAAGAAGATATGCTAAAAACTGTTTATTCAGTCGGTTACACTTACTGGTGATTTCACTGGTTATTACCAAATATTAACAATTAACACAGTATTTATTAACAGATGTTTTCACCACAAAATTCAGATCTCAAGTCTCTCGAAAATACAGTGACAAAGAGTTTTCTAACCAGAAAACTGGGTTATTTTTATGTGCAGAATGGAGACGAATGTTTGTGTATTTATGGATTATTGTTTTAATTAAATGTATGTGATGACTAAAAATGGGTGCTTGATCTTTTGAATGTTCGCAAAGTGAGTCGAAAACGTTAGAGTTTAAAAACATTTTTAAAATACGACATCTTAATTTTTTACGTTTTCATTTCTAGCAAAATGTACGCCTTTTAAATTTAAATAAGATTGAATGACAAATTCAGCCCTAAACACAGTGAACAAATTTTCTGATGCATAGCACAGGCCTCCCATATCTTTTATTGTGACTAATTTGTGAAACCACAATTTTTCATTAGAATATAAAGCATCAATACAAGTTTCACGTTTAATAACTTTTATCAGTTTTCGTGCAATCCAGCCTGATATATATCCAGTTATTTGTTTTATGGATTCTGAACAATTTTCATTATTCATGGTTTCAGCTAAAATTGAAACATTTTCAGTTTTTGTCACTAAGTGAATGAATGTCTATTCTTTCTTCACTTACTTCGGCAGCACGAAGGCCCGAAGAAGAGTTAATATTCAAAATTCCAGATGATAAACAGGTGAGTATGGGAAAGTGTTCTAAAGGAATACAATTGGCACTAAAAGATCTCCGTAATTCTAAATGATTGAAAATGCATTTATACAACGCTTTAAATTGTATTGTATTCGGATTATTATTAAAGCCACCTTGACGCCGAATAATACCAAAAAAGCTTTCTATATGGTCTTGGCTTAATCGGTCGCCAACGCCAACATTGATATCTTAATGCTAGCGTTTCTATCATAACGAGATTAATAAGGTGTTTTAAAACTTTCGATACAAATTAAAAAACCTAAAAACCCGGTTTAACATTTGCATTCTAATATTGCTTTTTTGGTGATATTAATTACTATTCTTTTTTGTGCAATCCGTTTTCTTTTATTATAAATCGGCAGTGACAAAATATATGTTTTGGCTTTTTCTAAAAAATCTAATAATTGTGCTGCGTTACTTGGACCGATGGGCTTTTGAAAATCATATTTAGCCAAGAATCTGGAGTTAAAAATATCAAAAAGGTCCTTGAAAATAGATATGGATTCCGTGTCGGTTTGGTATCTGTAATTTTTGTTGAAATTATTTATTCATAAAAAAATCTAAAACATAATAATGAATAATGGGTTGTAACTTTTCATTTTATTTTTGCCTTTTAAACATTAAATCTGTATAAATTGACTTATTTTTGGCTGTTGATGCGATCCTTTGCCAATGTCTAAAAAAATAATTTTTAAACATATTTGCCGCTAAAAAAGTTCTATCTAGTAAAACGTTACGTATGAAACTTCCAAACTAAATAGGCATGATCACTAATTTTAGAAATAGCTTTTAATTTATAAATAGAGCTTAAATAAACACGAAAAAAGTAGTGATATTTTCACTTCAATAAACAATCAATTTAAAAATTATTTCCCGAAAATTGCCGCCAAAACGCTCCCAAACTGTCACGTGATAAATATCTACTTCACAGGTCGATAAACAAAGCTCGCGTTGCAAAAAGGCAAAGACTCTCATTGATAAGGGAATGTGAAGAAGAGATAAGAGCAGCACAACCTGCTCAAGCTCAACCAATAGAAAATTTAAATATTGAAGTTCTAAATCAAGACGAAGGTTACTAATTTAATATCCCTAATAGTAACAATATAAAAGTATAAGTTCATCAATTTTTATCAAACTTTGTACATATGAACGTTCTTTAAAACTTATTATGCATCTCAATGTTTTAGTTCTTCTATTTACCTGTTTTTTTATTACCTACAAAAGGTTTTTTATTATGTTTCTATGTAAAAATAAAGCAATTTCACTATAAAGGTAATTTTATTTTTCAGATCCAGTCCAAGAACAACTACAAAATACAACAAAATTTGATAAAGCGGTCCAGATATGCATAAGAGCTAAATATGGAAGTAAAACTACTCAAACTGAAACAAAATCAAGTACGAAGAAAACCTCTCCTATAAAGGTTTTAGCACATCTGTGTCTACTTCTCCATTTAAAATTATTTTAAATGGAGAAGTTTAGCAAAAGTAACATGCAACTCAAGTAATGATGATAAATCTGATAGTGATATGTCATCTGTATACACACCACCTGTAGCACCTATGACAAAATCTTTTTCGGACACAAGTGTCTTAAATGAACCAGATTTTAAAAAAGAACATTACCGAAAATCTATGTTAGAATATAATGTAGAGAGAATAAAAAACAGAACACTGTTCTATATTGGTGTACCAAAAGATTGTTATGATTTAATTAAAATTATGCATGAGCATACTGGTATTCCTGAATACCGAATATTGTTGTGTTTAAAACAATTCGTTTGGACACAAAGTTTTCTGAACTTTCTGATGAGTTTGGAATAAGTAGAACATATGTATCAAAAATAGTATCTGAAAATATACCTAAAATTGCAGAAATCATGAGGCCTTTTATTGTAAAATTAGACAAGACTTCTATCAAAAGATGCTTGCCAATAGCCTTTAGAAAAAACTATTATAATGTAACATGCATTATAGATTGCCTAGAAATTGAAATTCAAAAGCCTGGTAATGTCGTGAATCAATCTCTAACTTGGTCTGAATATAAAAAAGCCAACACCATAAAATACCTAGTTTCTAGTACACCTAATGGACTAGTGAATTATATTTCACAGGGGTATGGAGATAGAATAAGTGATGTATGTCTGGTAGAAACTTGTGATTTCCTTAAATGTTTACCTAGTGGGTCACATGTAATGGCTGACAGAGGCTTTAAGCATATAGAACCACTATTATTTGCGATTGGTTGTAAGCTAACAAGGCCACCCAGTGTAGTGTCCGGTAATAAATTATCTAAGGAGGAAGTGAAAGAAACAAAAAAAAATTGCAAGTCTAAGGATCCACATCGAGAGAGTCATTATACGCATAAGGGAGTTCTCTTTTCTGAAGTCCCATGCTTGTGTAAACAATAATCTTTTAGGAAATCTTGGCGATATTATAGTTATAGCATGTGGCCTCATAAATTTGCAAAACTCATTTATTAATAAGTAACTAGATAGGTACTACTGAGATATTGTACAACTAGCTGTACGCTTGCGGTTTCTCCCGTATAAACTACAACCCATGGCCAGCAGTGGGATAAAAATTAGCCTATGTTACTCGCGGATAATGTAGCTTTCGAATGGTGAAAGAATTTTTAAAATCGATCCAATAGTTTTTTAGCCTATTCATTACAAACAAACATACAAACAAAGTTTTCCTCTTTATAATATTAGTGTAGATGTAAACTGGAAATGAAAGACTAATATACCAATCATAAGTATTTTTATTTACTTACATAGTGATTAATAAGTAACTAGATACTAAGGTATTGAACAATGGAAACTGGAAACAAAAGACTAAAATACCAATCATTACTATTTTTATTTACTTGCATATTTTACATAAGTGCCTACTATGTTTCTGTTGTTTTATATAGTGACGGGTGGATATTTGTCTTCCAAAATAATAATAAAGACTGCAATAAAGTCTTAACATACTCTTCATTATAATCTACTGATATTGAATTCACTTTGTTATTACTTTGAAAGTTTATATCTGCGATGCAAAAGAAACACTTTTTATATCCACAAACATACATTTGGATTTGCATCTGGTCATAACACTTCGATGAGGGTTTCCCATTCTGAATATAATTTTTTATAGTGTTCTCATTGAAAGGACATTTTATTTCTATCAGAAATTGCTCACCGATACCATCAGGAGAACCAGCAATCATAGGAAATTGTTGGCTAATAAAAAGCCCACATCTTCGTATCTTTTTTTTTAAATATTTTTACAACAGTTCCTCGTACTTTATTTTCTAAAATCCTGCCACGCTTAATAACTGGAGTCTCAGGAATGGTACCACCCAATCTCAAAGATATTAATGCACCATCCCTTGTCTTGAATTTCTTAACTTCATAGGCTTTTTAAGCAGTTATTCTTCCAACCTTAACTCATGCCATAAGCTGCTGCTGGACTGGTCTCTTGTAACTTCTTCATTTTTTTCTAATAATGCTGGAGTAAATAAACCCAATACTTTCTTAATAAAGTTCTCACTACATTCTTTGTTATATTTCTGCACTAAATGGTACAAAGACAGACCTTCCATCTCATTAGTGGTATTTTGTACATATTTTAACAGCTCGCAGTTGCTATTGCCTTTCGCTGTTAGTTGTTCCACAAAATTTTCAACAACATGGGGATCCGACAGAGGCGTATTATCCCTAAGGCAAAGTAGGCACGTGCCTAGGGGCGCGAGATTACAAAGAGGCGCGCGCGCGGAAGTTTATGAACAAAGAAAAATATAACAAAATTAATTGTCTTTAAATAACAGAAGATTCTTCAACTCTATAGAGATGTAGAGCTCCGCTTTCTTGATTATTCGCCTGATTTTGTAATAGAAATTAGTAGATACAACTGCAACGTTACACGTTCGTCACGTCGAACGCTAGCTAGCATCGGATGTTGCTACTTGCTAGATTGCAGCGCGAGGTGCGGCGCGGAGGGAAGCGGGGGTCGGGAGCTAGCGGCTAACGCCATTGACGGACATTTGCATTGGCTAAGACGTCGTGTCGCGCGCTTTTATTGTTTACGTTCTCTCAGCGGTATTTGTGTGTATTTAATTAGCTAGTGCATTGCGTTTATACATACGTTTAGTTTATTGCTAAAAAGAATGAGTGAATTGAAGACAAAACCTATTGGTGCAGCATATAAGAGGAAGGCTATGGAAAAAGAAGAAAAACATCAAAATGTAATAAAGCATACGCAACCTATTGAAATTTTTTTTTCAAAACTAATAATTGATGACGCGGTATCTTCTTATGCAATTTACCATGCGTGTGCTACTGAGCCTATTCAATGCGAAATTCCTACTACTTCTAAACAACCACAAGATTTGTCAGCGCCTACGCCGCCTACTCCGCCAGCAGTAGAAGTTGAGAGGTAGTTGCAAATTAAACTGGTCATCGTGGATTGTGACCCAGTCAATTGGAATATCAATAACGAATCACAAGAATATATTGCACTGAATGGCTTTAATCAAAATATAAACGCAGATTTTTCATTGAGCAAGAGAACATATGAAGATAAAATCTCTCGTTTTTTGACAAAAAAAATGTTTGAACGAAAGTTATTAAATAGAGAAAAACGTCCAAGGAAATGGCTTATTTACTCTCCAAGCACAGGAAAAGTTTATTGTGGACCTTGTTTATTATTCGGTGGTAGAACTAGTTTTGTAAAACAAGATGTTGGTTTTAATGATTGGAAGAACGCATCGAATAGATTAGAAAGCCATGAAAACTCATGTGAACATAAAACATGTGTTTTGACATTGCAAGGTAGATCTAACATTGTCGGTCGTGTCGATCATGAGATTGCCGCTCAATTTCTAGAAGAGTTTACGTATTGGCGTGAAGTTTTGAAACGAGTGGTTGCGACTGTAAAGTCTTTAGCATCGCGTGGGTTATCTTTTAGGGGACATGACAAAAAACTTGGCTCTCTTCATAACGGAAATTATTTAATGACGCTCGAACTCTTAGCGGAGTTTGATCTGTTTTTAAGTAAACATATCACTCAATATGGCGGCAAAGGAAAGGGCTGTACCAAATTACAGTCACTTTGAATGCGCTCGGAGGAGTTAATAAAGATGGTCCCGACTGGGCAAAAGTAATTTTTATTTATTTATTTTATTTCTTTCATTAAGATTAAAGAAATAAAATTATCTTATCTGAAAATATTTTTACAGTATTGGGCTGAAAAGAAATGCTTATTAAAGAAAATGTGCAGCAAGCTTTCAGCTTCATTAAGACAAACGGGGGGAGTTACCACTGATCTTCCACAATTGTCCGATATGGATAAGCGGTTCGTGGCAGTAATGGGTGGACAAAGTTTTGCTTGTGGAGATAGCCAGCTAGCTATCAACCTTTTCCCACAAATGGTATAAATTATTCTGATAATATAATAATAAATATTTACTTTTTATGACTGCCTTATGGGAAATAATTAATACTAAGTTTATATTACAGCATTTGACATCAGAAACTACAACAACCGCAGTAATGGAGACTCCACGAGACTTTGCAAATGAAGTTCAAGTAGAAGTTCCCGAAGAAATAGTTGTTGAAGTTCTGCCTTCTCCTTCCCCAACCACATCACAAGTTGTGCCTCCCCCTTTGTCACCAAAACCACTACCCACTCATCCAAGTAAGTTTATTCGTAAATATATGATATTAAAATATTATAATATATAAAGCTTTTATATAATACATAAATGTACATGCTCAGAAATTTCTCAAAAATGTAGTTTATAATTTAGTTGTTTAATGTAGTATCTTTAAATAATAAAAAAAAACTAAATTTCTTGTAAGTGACTTTTTGGAAAGGACTTTGAGAATACCAACCCACCTCTTTTTTCAGATACAATAAACGATAATATTAACAAAATAATCATGTATAATAATTAAAATAAATATAATTTCTTAAAAATGCCTAAAATCCACTCTGAGATGGGATGGTATAGTATTGTAAATGCAAAATTCAAATGAAATCAAATTTACTAATTAAATATATATTTTTTTAGATCCAGCTACAAATACAGCTCGGCCACGACCACGCCGTCGCATCATTCGAAATGCCGATTTAAAAATAGATCGCATGGCGAGGATCGAGGAACGACGTGTAGAAGCTGAGAGAGTGACTGCTGAAGCATTAGCAGTAGAATTGATAGGCTCGCTGATGAAATATTGGAAGTGGCAGCAGCCTTAAATAACATTGCAAATAACTTAGCTCTGTGATTTGATTTAAAAGTAGAGTTTTATATTATATTTGTTATGTTTATGTTGATTAAATATGTATTCCAAAGATCAATTAAAGAGTTTGTTATTTAATGATACCATTTTTATATAACTTTATTGGATGAGGTAGCACTAATTATTTTAGAGTAGAAATTGTAGTTCCAATGCCAGCTACCTCAGCGATAATTTAATTATACACATTTTTGTATTATACGTTTTAAGTTGAAGTTTGTTTAGGAAAATCATTGAGAACATTATACCTGTCTTATAAATAGATATAATTCTATTACTATTGTAAAATTAAGGTAGGCTATAACAGTATAACAGTAGGTAAGCTGTTTATAAGACTGAATTAATAAAAATGCCATACATGTTCATTTATATATTTTGCTCTCAAAAAGAAAATTAAAAGTTTAATGAAATTTTGTCTGCGTGCTGCCCATAATTGCTGAACTAATAAAAATTGCTTTTCAACACCTCGTCTTAGTTCTAATGATGATTCATTCAGATGAGGCTCATGAATTTGAGGATCTGCTACATTTCAACCGCTATCCCAATATTATTATGAGTGTAATAACACATGTTGTGCAGTACACAACATCCATTTATGATTTTGGCTGCCTTATTTGGATGGTAATGAAGGACTCTATGTCCTAATAAGCAGCGCCACCTATTTTTAAAACGCCAATACAACGCTCCACAGTATTGCGAGCAGAGCTATGTTTTTTTGTATAATACTCTTCGGGAGAACCCACTTCAGCACCCACAATCGGAGTCATCATATATTCCCGTTGAGCGTATCCTGAATCTCCTAAAAATAATTTAACTCATAATTTCCCATACAATTTATATTATTTCTCTTAATTTGGTTGTACTTTCAAATACTATAGACTTACCTAATAAGTATACATTTTTTCCAGCATTATTCAATGCAAGTAGATGATTTCTTATTGGATGCTGGTTCCACACAAAACTATCATGTGTTGCACCACCAAATGAAGCATCCACTGATAGAATATTTAAATATGCATCACAAATCTAAAACAAATATTATAAAAGTAAAAAACTTATGCAAGATAAAATCAAAATAATTATGTATTAATGCCTATAATGTTATTAGTTTTAACTTACAATCATGACATTTCTTGAATGATAATGTTTGCAATTAAAAAATCTCTCTTCATTTTCATTAGGTCGTACAATGGCAACATGTGTCTCATCAATGCAGCCCAACACTGCCGGTATACCAAAGTGTTCATAAAAATCTAAAATGAATAGTTTGATTATTATAAATAGTACTGTCACTTTAATTTTTTACCCTGTTAGGATTACTTACTGTCTTTTAATATTCTTATTTTCTTCTACTCTTATTAATAAGTCAGCGATGTCATTACAATTATTGTCATCCCCTGTAACGGGCAGTTGAATGTCTTTCTGCATGTCTTCATTATTATTTTCATTTTCTATTGATTCAATCTCTATTGTTATAATATTATTATCGAAGTGGTTTTTGGGAATTTGCGATTATTTTTGGGGCTCTTTGTTTGCTCTCATTTCAATATTTGTATTTATAGACAAGTCAATAATAATCGGTGGGTCACTATTTATTTGACTTTGTAGTTCTGGCTTTTCAGTTTCCTTAACTATGGTATTTTTTTCTTCGTTTAGAAAGATTTGTGGTGCTAGTGTGAGCTAACTCCTCCAGCCAGGCGTTTAGACATGAAGAAATATCAGTCATACATACAAACTTTCCCATTTATAATACTAGCTTTTTGCTTCCGCATTTTCCAGCCATCCTTTAAAATACTCGTTTGAAGTAAATCAACACTTTAATTATACAACGAAATCGTTTTTAAAAGAAAGCAAAGTATAATTTTGTTAAAGAAACAAGTTCTTTCCTTAACAAGATTTGGCGCCAAATGTTTTATAGCTCGGCGCACACAAACACTCGTCTTCACGATTCACGTCAGAATGAAGCGCCTGCGCGAGGGGCTGGGTATTTATCATTGTTTGACACGACGTTGCAAAGTATGACCGGACATAGATATCACTATTTTGAGTTTTTATAAGTGCTTCAAGTAGCACCAAGTAAAATTGAGATGTGTTTGACCGACACTCGATGAGATTCTAGAGTGCGGATAACTCTCTGAAACGACACGCTAGTCAAGTTTAGCATTCAGACGATAACGATTTAAACAACATGCTATCATGAAAAAACATAAAGGAAAAAAGGTTGAAGCGCCGTGTTGAATTTTTTTTAAGTAAAGGCTAATTGTTTTAACCGACAGCCGTGTTGATTTTTATGAAAAGCAAAATGTATTAAGCGACAGTCACTTCTAAAAAGTAGTGGCAGGTAAAATGCTTCAACTGCCGTGGAATATTTTAATTGAGAAAACGAAAACAGTTTAAGCGGTTTTTTTGAAAGATACATGTGTGGTTCATATCCATAGCCTCTAAAATTTTATTGATTTTTTTGGCGTTTGAAACATCATTATTCTAAAATGAGGCCAAAGTGTTAATTGTTTTAAGCGCCAAAAAAAGTCATCCGATCTTCTCTCATTCGACGCAGAAAAATCCGCTGATTCCAATATAGTATATAAGTCGATTTTTTCCCTGGGTGGCGCTTAAAACAAATAGGCTTTCTCCCCCTCGATATAGGGCAGGCCTTTTACTTCAAGTATAAAGAAGCAAAGCTGAAATGACGCACCGTTTAAAAAATGCGCCAGCCGCGCGTTCGCTGTGAGGGCGCCACCATAGAGAAGATTGAATAAAGGGTATAGAGTTGTCAGATAAAAATCATATAACTAGCGCTCCTCGTGATAAAAACCGGAACTACTTCAATTATATTTGAAATACTGATAATTAATCTAAAGAGAATCAAATAAAACACAAACTTTTACACTTTTTTGAATAACAAATTTGTGTCGCTAACCCAATAGGGATGATGACTAATTTTTGTTTGTTTGTGCGACAGACAGAAACGGCAGTAAGACTGATAATCAAATGAAATTTGCTATCCTACATATTTCGAAATTATTTGCTGAGTACTAATATTATTTAATGTTACTTACCAGCTAAGTATCCCATGTTTGCAGCCACTGATTGACTATTTTGTTGGAGTCTACATGCTGCTCGGTTAATTTAGGCATTACTCTAATGCCTTTATATGCAGGATTTTATTTGTATAAGTCCACAATATGCTCCCACTTAGCTTCTTTATTTATGCCATTTATCTCACAAATTAAGTTTTTATTTAGTAAATTATTTCTAATCCCTTTAATTAGGTGTGCCGTATCAAATAATGATACAACTTCTATTCCTTCTATGTTAAACACTTTCTTGTTTGATTCCACACCTTTATTCTTGCGCTCATATTCTGTTTCGTTTATTAAATATTCTATAGCACTTACATTAGATGCGCATTGGTTACATCTTATTGCGACTACAATCATCCCAATAGCTGTTATTTTTTTTATAATTATTTTTATAGCTTTGGTAATTCAATTCGATTCGTGCTACCAGAGCAAAACGAATAATATATAGGTTGCTTATAGTTTTTTATAACTCCTCTCACCATGAAAACTAAAGCATGATCAGCAATCATGTTTGTTGTTTGTATTCCATTGCTTACAAAGCCTGTTATTGTATCCTTTCTCTTATTATATTGGAAATGTAGTGAAATTGCCATTTCATCAAAAAGAAGCGAACATATTCTCTCATGTGGTTTTATTTTTGATACTTGTTTTATAAATTGATCAAAAAGATGATCATTATTTCCAGGATTTAAGGATGCTCTGCTGATCATTATTCTACTAAGGGTGATTGGGGCCGGTAGTACAAAAATTTTACGTAACCACCTGTATGCTTTTGGTCCTTGTTTATAGTCAGCCAAAAACATAACTTTTTCTTTTTTGGAAAAGTTTGTTTGTTACACTTTCGCAAAAAAATTACTGGATGGATTTTGATGATATTTGGTATCCAAATACCTGAGTGTGGATTAACATATAGGCTACTTTTATCTCACTTTTATGCCCTAGGGACCACGCAGGCGAAATCGCGGGCGAAGCCACTGACAAAAACTAGTTATGCATAAATAGACTATGTTAAAGAAGCAATATAATTACTTAAATGTTCAGATTTTTATTTTTAATATTTCAAACTTTTTGTTAAATAAAAATTATTTCAGTAAAGATTTTATGTAGACACCGGAAGCATGTTAAGCCAAGTACTTGATTGAAGCAAATTGTTATTAAATGGCTTGTTATAATTTTACCATAAAATTTCATTCATTATTCAATCAAGGATAGGTTATATAAAATTGCTATTTATTATTTCTGAAACTAACCATTACTTATGGTGACTGGCTTTTATTCATTTGAAGTTGAGCAGGAGGCTGTTAACAAAATGATTCTTAAGAATAAAACGACATGAGCAATTTCCATTATAACTACTGAAATCATTTGTTTGTACTTTTTAATGTTTAAACTTTTATGTTAAAACGAAGTTAAATTAGTAGTAAACATGTTCTTTTTAATATAATATTTTATGATACCTTTGCATAGCAAATATTATTATTTGTTTACATTTAAGGTTGATGCATTAAACAATTATTAAATCTGAAATTTTAAAAATTAACATACATAATTTTTTCACCTAAGGTGACGTGACTTACTTGTGATAATCTACATAATGATATTACATACTCGTACCTACAGTACAGCATAATGAATCTTACAGTAAATATTACCTGGCAAATTTAACGTAAGCACTGCGATAGCAGACAGTCTCTTGCTCTTCGTAAAATATAAAATATGTTGCTCTTCAAAATGGTCATGACAAACCCTCATAATTTTCAAAATCATCATGATCGTAGTTTAATCTGCTACCACCAACTGCATAAACCAGGGCTTCCCTAACTAACAGGGCTTCGCGGCAATGGCCCAGGGGCATCGCATGTTGATATATCGATGG